CAGGAATGCTGTAGAGATCCACTGCACCTTTGAAAACCCAAACAAACAAGAAAACAAATCCTGTTTTTTCATAGCTTTTAGAATTTGTTATAAAGAAAAGAATACAGATGGGATATTTTCAGTAGAATTGAGGTGCCTGTGGGCTAGAGAGCTGGAGATTTCACCAAAAATGAGTGGGCACATGCAGCTTTCAAACACGTACTCTGTTGGGCTGAGAGCTGTAAGCCAGAATTGGTTTTAGATTTGTATTCTGGCTGATTTAATGTGTCCGCCTCCCGCCAACGCTCACCACTTGCTGTGCCCGCTCTTGCAGATGCGCACGACGCGCAAGGTGTCGGTATGGCCCGTGGGGCTGGTGGGAGGACGCCGCTACGAGCGCCCAGTGGTGGAGAACGGCAGAGTGGTCGGCTGGTACACGGGCTGGAGAGCAGACAGGCCCTTTGCCATCGACATGGCAGGTGAGTGCTCAGGTTATACACGTAATCTTCTCGTCATAACCCTTCTTACACTTTGTATCAGCGGGACAGAAGCAGATGGCTCTCTTGAAGCAGCTTTTAAAAGTTCTGAAGCACATCTGCCATACGTGGCCCTTCAGCACTGAAATCCTTTGTGGCAGAGCTACAAAGATGATGGAGGGAGTGGAGCATCTCCTGCTGAGGAGTGGCTGAGAGAGCCGGGGCTCTTTAGCTTGGAGCAGAGGAGACTGAGGGGTGCCCTCATTCATGGGGATCAATTTGGAAAGGGCGAGTGTCAGGAGGAAGGAGCCAGGCTCTGCTCTGTGATGTCCAATGCCAGGACAAGGGGCAATGGTCCCAAGCTGGAGCATAGGAGGTTCAACCTGAACATGAGGAGAAACTTCTTTCCTGTGAGGGTGCCAGAGCATGGCCCAGGCTGCCCAGAGAGGTTGTGGAGTCTCCTTCTCTGCAGACATTCAAAACCCCTGGCCGTGTTCCTGTGTGACCTCCTCTGGGTGATCCTGCTCTGGCAGGGGTTGGACTTGGGGAGCTTTCGAGGTCCCTTCCAACTCCTCATATTCTGTAATTCTGTGATCCTGGAAGTCTTTGCTCGCACGTTTGCTCATCTCATTAAGTTGCTTCTTGGTGGTATCTGAGCTTACGTTCGCTTGTTTTTAATTTTATGCAGCAACTTGGCTTTTATGTTGGACAAATCATCTGAAACAAGTTTGTTTTGTAAATTAATCCGTCCAATTAATTTTTGCGAGGAGCTTTTCATTGTATCATCAATCTACACCAGGCACTGTGAGCGCAGACCCTTAGACCCATGCTGTAAAATGCTGCTCTGTCATGAAATTATTCAATTTTTATTGGTTATTTGGAGTGACGGTGATAACTGTAGATGGATGGAGTTTGAAACACGGGGCTTAGGGGAAATATCCCTGACAGCTATGGCCTGGTAGATGAAGGCAGAAAAGCTTCCAAATGGATCTAATCAATCTTGCGCTGTGAAGTTCGCGCACAACACAGCTCTGTCTTGCTGTCAGTCCATGCTTAGACAATTTTTTGTACACATCCACGGCTGCCACATGAATCACACTGTGTGGTACAGCAGCAGCTGCTTTCCCTGCAAATGATGTATTTGCACTTAAATATTTTCTGTAGAGAGGGAAGAGGTGAAGCAGGGACACAAGGACAGGAGTGAGGTAGAAACAGGTGGCCGTTTCCTTGTTTTCTGAAACCCTTGTGTTTTGGGAGTGGGAAAAGAATGGTGCTTTTTTGTATTAATAGAATATTTTTACATGGATTGACGTGTTTGATGAAAAACATGTACGGTATTTACAGTACAAGTGGTTAATAAGAATAAAGGAGAACTAATAGTTGTTAACACCTCAAAGGCAGAAACACCAACAGGTGAATTTTCCAGTTAATAGCATCACCTGGCATGAAAATCGATTTTTGAGTGTCCAGGTAGAGGCATTCCTCAGGGGAGAACCAGATATGTCAGGCCCTAAACCCTGCTGAGGACTGCAGCTGCACATTTTAACACTCTGCTTGTGGATTTATAGACACACAACGATACAGTGCTGTAGCCGTGGTTACTTATGGGCATTATAGAGACGACAGCGTGGTTCATAATTCATTAGCAGCAGGCAAAAAGCCATTACACAGCATTGCCCAAGGGCTTCTGACCCAGACATAAAGAGATACATGGAAGGTTTGTAAGTTGTTGTTTACGCTTTGCAGTCGCTGGATGAAATCCTGGCGTGAGGGAAAGGCAGCTCCATTAGAAGCACAGCTGCTCCTACCTTCACCAAAATCATGGAAGGGAAAGTTATGGAGACAAAGATACAAGGGTTCAGAGTATAGGAAGTTACTGCAGATCCACAAACAAGGAGTTACTACTCTGGGAGAGAACTTTTCTTATTAAATCTTAAAAAAAAAAAATAACTGAATTAGGTGACATGTTTAATTTCAGCAAGGAGAGAAAGGGATGCTGTTTAGGCTGGTAGAAACTGTGAAGTTTGCACCTCCTCTGCGTTCCCCTCAGAAATGCAGTGGCAGGGCACAGACAGAACAGAACCTGTAAATCAGAACTGCACAGGTGTCTCAAGAGGTGTACATGAACTTCTTATCCCAGACTTTAAGGTACAGGGCAAAATTACGAAGTCTACAGGATGCATGGTAATACTCTGTTTTCTACCCTTGTCACCCCCCGATCCCCCAAAATACCCTTGGGGACCTGGAGCACTTGCTAACAAACCCATGTCCGTGCTGTAGTACGTCACTGGAATTCCTTCTTCTCCTGGCACCAAACACGTAACCACCTGAGGTTATGCCCTATACTGCACATAAGGAACATCAAGGATCTTTTTTGAAAGTATTACCATAAAAAATAATTGTGTATTAAACTGCCCAGCTGTCTACAGCTGATTATAATTAATGCTCTGATTCTCAAGGCATGGGTAAGGGGACTCTCTTTGGTTCACAGAACTACCTTTTTAAGTGATTTTCACCAAATCACGGGGCTGGGTGTGAAAAGAATGACCAAAAGGTTTGGGACTCCTGACTTACCTTGTGGCTGTGCAGCGGAAGCGCATCCTTGCTTCTAAGCACATTAACTTCTTATCCTGGACTTTTAAGATACAGGGCCAACACACCATATGAAGTAGTTCTGGTGGTTTTTAAGTTCTGCCTGTACCTGGGTTCTGGTTTGACACAGACTTCCTCACCCTCAGGGAAAGGAAAGGGAGAGAGCATTGGGTGCTGTAAGCAAGAAGCGACACTGATGCTGAGGTAGGCACCGTGTTGGTTATTTCAGACCTGGTTTAAAATCTTCATTAAGCGATGCTGTCACTGATTTACTTCTGGCTTGCTCCCAGTGCTGGCGTTTTTGGCCATCCATGAGAACAAGTCAGATCACGATTCCCCTGCTGTCAGGATTGCTCCAGGAAAACAGATGCGTGCTTTACGTTAGCATTTCGGGAGCTGCTTCCTTCAGTCAGAGATTAATCTGTGCCTGTGGATCGCTGTGCAAGCACATTTGGACGTGCAGTCCAGAGCTCATCCACTGTGCCCTAAGTCCCTTTTTGTTTAAAATTTTGCCATAGTATGAGATCTTTAATGCATCTCATCTTTCTTGTGGCTCCCTGAGGAAAAACAAAACTGGTCTGTTAATGACACTGCAAAATACAGCGTATTTTGTCTCAACATGAAAGAGCCACTGCTGGAAGTCAGAAATACAAAAGATTTTTAAGTGAGTGACTATGGCAGTCACCATAATTAAAAAAACCCCTAAAACCGTCAAAGGGTAACATTATTTTAAAAGTTGTTGAGTTTATAGAGAGCCTCTTTCATGATAAATCACCCATCAGCAGCTGCCTTGGCTCTGAACTACAGAAAACTCCTTTGCCTTATTGCAACCCAAACAGCACCTCATGGGGAGGAGATGCTTGTGAGAAGCTGACCCCAACCCATGGCACATCCAACCCAAAGGCTTGAGCTGTGTGGAAACCAAAATATCCGCTGCAGCATCAGTGTAACGAGCATTTACACACTTTGGTATGATAAGCACTCTCAGTTTCCAGCGTGCCTTCAGCTGCTGCCCTGTCTGCAGCATTCGGGAAGCAAAGGCATTAATCACGGCAGCAAAATCTTTACAGACCATCTCGGTGTAACCTGATGAAGAGAAATGGTCCTGCCTTTTAGCAGGAGCCATTGATGGAGCATGAGTCAAGGTGGGAATTAACAGGAGCAGCTTCGCAGATGTAATCCTTGCCGTGTCTGACAGGTATCCTGTCCTCAACAAATTAAGTGGCTTTTCGGCCAATTAATTATAATTTACAGCCTTGCATTAAACACAAAAAAAACCCCAAAACACCTCTTCATACTCCTGCTATCAAATTGTCCCGTGGGATTTCCTGGGATCTTAATCCCAATGTGACCTTAGAAATTACGATCAAGTAAAAGATCTGACCACAGAGCAAGGAACCAAACCTCAGGGCACAGTAATCCATGTCCTTGCCATGTACAAAGCTCACTCTAATTTAATTTATTTGATGCCTGACAACATGGGGAATTTTTGTTCCCACCCTAAACTGCTGGTTTGCAGTAGCGTGGTACGAGGGCAAGTGTTGGGTGCAGGGAGCAGGGCCAGCGCATCCGCAGATCCGTGTGTAGGAGAAATCCAATTTTCTCAGAACCTTGGAGAAATTAATTAATGCGTGGCTAAGGATGGATTATGGGGGCCAGGGAGCCAAGCTGCGGCACGCAAAGAGATGCAGCTGAAAAATCCCCGAGTCTCTTCTGCTTCGAACGGATTCCTTCTCCCCTCCCAAAACCAGGGCACCGCACTAATTTTGGTGCTGACTTCGTTTTCTCCTTCATGGATGACCAGCTTAAGTCTGAAAAATGAGATCTTAAAAGCTTTGTAAGGAGAAACAGCAGCTCCCGCAGCTGATGAGGGCTCCAAACTTGTCTACCCTCGCATCTTTCTTCTGTGCCCAAAATACCAACCACGCTAAAGCCCTGGTGCACCGAAAATTGGTGTTATTTGTTCTAATTGAGGGGGGCGGGGGGGGGGAATCAAAGCACCCGTAACTTCAATGTTCTTGCAGTTTTCCAGCACAGATGTCAAAACTGTCACTACTCCTGCCACAAAGGGCCAGCTGGAGCTGGGATTTCTGGGGCAGGCTTGGCAGTGAGGCCCAGGGAGTCACAAAGGGCCTTTTTCTTTACAAGTGTGGCAGTTGAGTTTTGAGCTGTGTTTAAAGACGCGCACGTGTGGCTGAACTTTGCTGAATGAAAACTGAAGAGGTCTGTAAATAATGGCAAACTGTTGATTCATGAGGGTGAATTTGTTTAAACCAGTGATTTTTTTTTTTTTTAGTTTGTCACCCCCCTTGGAGGGATTTAAGGTGAGGAGGGCGTTGCAGAAAGAGGCACTGATGGAGGTCTCTGTCGTGCTGTGCGATGCACAGATCAGCCACGGACTCTCCTGTCTTCTACACATTTTATTTTACTTAAAGTTTGGTTTATTTCTTAATTAGAAGCAGAAAGGATGGTCTGAGATCTCAGCAATACCCGACTTTTCAGCAAAAAAGCGTTTTACTCTCCACATGATGGGAAACTGATTAAACGTGTTGATAAAACGGTGCAATTAAAACAGCTGATTGCAGCTCCAGGGCAAAACAAACCCACGTGGGATGTACAAACCACCAAATGCTGTCTCTCTGTGTAACCAAATGTACACATTTTTTAGAAGAACACAGAAGATTTCTAGGCCTAGGCGTAACTTGCCCAAAAGTGTAAACCCTAAGTGTTTTTCTGACGTTTTCCCTCCCCACTCTCCTAGGATTTGCCGTGAGTCTCCAAGTGATCCTGTCCCATCCAAAAGCCGTGTTCAAGCGCCGCGGTTCTCAGCCAGGAATGCAGGAATCGGATTTTCTGAAGCAGATCACAACAGTGGAGGAGCTGGAGCCGAAAGCGAACAACTGCACAAAGGTACCCGTTTCCTTGCTCAGTGAAAAGCTTTTCTGTCGTCTCTGCGGACGACTGCGCTAACGCAGGCGTTGTTTTGTAGGTTCTTGTATGGCACACGCGGACAGAAAAAGTGAATCTGGCCAACGAGCCAAAATACCACCTGGACACGGTCAACATTGAGGTGTGAGCTGGAGACGCAGCCCCGCGGGGAGCCACGACAGCCTGCGTCTGCCCGCAGCCTTCAGCCGTCCCCCGGTGGGTGTCTGTGGGGACAGAAGGGAGCGGTCAGGTCTCAAACGAGCAAATCGAGTGGGTGTGCTTTGTAATCGCTTGTCTGCATGCGTTTCTGAACTCTGGTCTCGATAAAACCACCACCTACCTTTGTCTTACGGCTGTTTCCGCGTAGTAAAAACCATCCAGAGAAACACGGCTGCAATGGAGTGTTTTCCAAGGCGTCATTTCTGTATATACTTTTTGTATTTATCCAGCTGAAGGGTGTAATTATAAACTTGATTTTCAATCCCAGATTGTCAATCTGAGTATTTGCATAAACGGGTCCTCCAAACTGAACGTGTTTTCCCTCCGTTAAAAGCAGATTTCTTGAGGAAACAGCGGTCAGATAGGTCAATGAAAGAAAAACCCCACAATCGCTTCTGGATTTATCCTTTTAATATAGGGAAATAACATTTTATCATTACGAGGCACCATAAAATGTAAACACAATCACTGTCATAAACCTGGATATCCCTGTTCACACTGAGTTACCTTCTCTCCGTCCTGTGCGTTAATCCTGCGCCCGTGCCCCGTGCCCCGAGCAGACACTGCAGCACAGGAACCTCAGGTTGATCAAATGCTCGTGTTTTAAAAGAAGAAACCATTGATTTGTAGGAGCACAGCGACATCCAGGTTTATCTTCCTTTCAAGAACCATATTCCTTGTTATGCACACCAGAATAACATCACAGTGAAATGTAGGATGAAACGAAATCTGTTTGATACGCTAGCAAACATTGCCGAGTGATACATTTACATTCTATTTATATATGATTAAACAGTTGTTCGTACAGTACCTTCTACAGGATTATTGGGTAATTTTGGGGGGGGTCAGGGTTCGTAGTTTTGGATATTACTAACATGATAGCTACATCCCTTATATGCAAACATTTGATCTAGAATTTTGAGGGGAAAAAAAAGAATCGGTATGTGGTTAAGCAGCTTCTTAAATATACGGTCTATGAAATCATACGCATCGTATGGAAATGCTGCCGGTGATGTATCAATGTATTCTTGATCTGCTCTGCACTACACCAAATTGAAATCGAGAGCGACCACACCACGGTCAGTCAGTCCTAGTTGGAACCTGAACAGCTGGGGAAAAGAAAAATGATCTGTACATGGAAGGAGGAGCGAAAGGAGACGCCTCTGAACAAGGAATGGTAACGGCGGCCGATCCGGGGAGACCTCCACGGCAACGTTCATTTCCAGAGCTGCGTGCTGAGAGTCTGGCCCGAGGAGCTCCCCGTCCACCCCGCGGCTGTGCTGGGGGGCTGCCCAAAGCCCATGGCGGGGCTGGGGGTGCTGAGGGCCATTCCTGCCATTTGCTGGTTCATCTGTGGAGCACACACACAGAGGAGTTCGTTAGCACTGGTGCTGAAACACAACACATCACTGGCCACTTACTCATGCTTCCTAAACCACCAACACAGCTGGAGTACGTGTCCCTACAATCAGTATTTCTTATGAAATAAAAACACTGCCTTGATACAAGAATCACAGAATCATTCAGGTTGGAAGAGACCTCCAAGACCATCCAGTCCAACCGTCAGCCCAACCCCACCATGGCCACTAAACCATGTCCTGCAGTGCCAAATCCAGGCACTTCTTGAAAACCTCCAGGGATGGGGACACGACCA